TTATTTTTAAATATACGTGTTTTCAAATGAATAATGAGAAAATTGATTCTTCTAAAATCAATTTTGTAATATTTTAATTTTAGCTATTTATATTATTTTGATCTCTAATCAAATTTAATCGTTAATTTTGTAAAATCAATATAATATTTTTATATTAAAATTATTTTTAATTATATTTTAAAATAACTTTATCTCTTTTATTTATTAATACATAATTTAAAAATTCAAAAATTCAAAAAAATTGAATTTATGATTTTTTTAATATTATTCAGAGACATTTAAAGCGATGTTAGGATGGAATGAAACACTTTTGAGTAAAAAAAGATTTACTCTATTTGATAACCAGGTTGAGGAACATCCCATACAAGCTGGAGTCTTGCATTTCATAAAAGAAGCAAGTCATATCTTTTTGAACTTATATAGTTTTGAATTTGGTGAAGAAACTTAATCTTGTGCACATCAGATCAATAAAGTTAAACGTGAAGTTATTTTAAACTTGGTTTTGTTATGCAAGGTCAAATCACATCAAGCATTGCAAAAGTACAAAAAGTAATGGAAAGACGGTCACTCGTACTTTTCTCTTAGAGTTTGAGGTGCATGCGATATAATCTATCTACCAGGGTTTAATGAAAAACATCGACAGCATGTTAGAATTAACTCAAGTTTTGAGTTAAACTTGAGTTAACCTAATTCAAGTTAATATAAGATTAATTATACCTATTTAGTATTGATATTAGGATAACGAATTAAGGATTTGAAAAATCCTAAACTCAAAATCCTAGACTTTTAATTTATATAAAGTATGTAATGAAATTTTAACATTAGGATTAAAAAATTTTAATATGTAAAATAAATGAATAAATTTTAATATCTTAGAAATTTCTAAGTTTTATTATTTTTAATAAAAAAATTGATTTGAGTTTTAAGTGCTTGTTATATATTTACATTTTTTGATGATATTTGGTATTTTAAGAATATTTTTGAAACATTACTATTCTTTCAAAGCATCAGAAAATCAAAGCTTTTAAAGTTATAATCTTATGCAGATAAGACTTTAGCAATAAAAAAATTCCAAGGTGAAAAGGTGAGAAGAGAAATAAAGAAAAACCAAATGAACATAGATTATAACATACAAGTGTTTATTGCAAATAAATAGCTTTGTTAACCAACAATCAACGAATCTTTAACTTTTAGAATAATGGAAGAATAGAAATAGGTTTTTATAGGTTAACAAGAATGTACAATTGTCATTATTACTGTTATAAAAGTGTATATACATACAATATTTTTTATAGACAGAACTTATCTCTTCTTATTCTTTCCCAAGGTTTGTTTTACTAAACAAGTAATAAAAGAAAAAAGGATAAAAAGATCTAATCAACTTATACAGGTTTTGGAATGAACATCGTTCATTGGTTTGTCAAAGTTTCGAGTGATATTATATATGAATAAATAATTAAATAAAGATAAAAAAGTACTTGATATTTGCTACTCATGCATTTGCTACTTGCTACATTTTCTGATAGATAAATGTCTATACCTGTATCGAGAGGTGGATAAAGGATCTTCGGTCTATCACGTTCTTCCATACATGATTACTGCAATTTCTAAGTAATCTTTCTTGCTATTTGTCCTTGGTAGACATGAACTCAAGATTTCCCGCAGTCTTGGCATTTCAAGTAACCTCATCACATTCCAAGAAATAAAAAATACACATCATCATTCCTCTACAGCGTCATTCATGATACTCGATGCTATTGATTTTATAGCTTCATTGCCTCCAGTTGTTATTCAAGTGCATTCGTGGATTTACAGTGATGCTTGGGTTGCAACATTACTGCTGGATTCCTCAACAAATTTACGGCTTTCTATCCTAACAATTGACTTCACAGCTTCATTACCTCCGGTTGTTTTTTGAGTGCATCAGTGGACTTACAGGGATGCTTGGGTTGCAAATTTATTGCTGAATTCCTCAACACATTTACGTCATTCCATTCCAACCAATCCGTCCATGCAGAAAAGGAAAGGTCTCTGAACCAATGTCGTGTTCATAAACACATATCTTCTCGTCTCAGGAACAACGCATGCCATCCACGTAACGCGCTCGATACTCCCCTGCACTGAGCTCATGCAATTCCATGAAAAAAATGTGCATCTAAAAAACTATTAAAGTGTATCGTTGTGCAGTTTGTTCGGCTCATATTTCCATGCACATGCTTCTGGGCTTTACGGGCTGCATAATGCATTGCAGACTGTGAACTCTCGTTCTGACTTGTACTGAGATACATGGGGTTTGACGGCGGCTCGACATATATATTTTTATTTTCTATATATATATATATATATATATATATATATATGGGACAAAAGAGAAAAGATTTGCCACGGCCAAAATTTCATTTCATCCTGTTGTGGTGAAAAGAATTTCCTGAACGTATACAGTACCAACCCTACTCATTGTTCTTTATCATTGAGTGAACATCTGAATCTGCATCTCTCCAAGGCGTGTTCCACCCTCAAGGTGGCGCATCTTCTAACCGAGAAGATGAAAAGAGATATAATAAAAAAATAATGCACCTGGAAGAGATCAGAAAATTTGTCCAAGTCATCGTAAAGTCTCTTCGTCCTCCCGTTCATTGTATTTTCTGTTAGTGGTTGGAAAGACGTTCAGGTTGCTTTGCGAACAAGGTAATCTGTTCACGTTTACGTTCGGTCTCATGTGTGCATGCGTGTTTTGAGTGGTGGAAATCAGTTGGCCGGTATGCACAAGGCCGAGTACACGTGTACTTGACACAAGGACTGGTTTCGGGTTCATCTACTTTCCTCTACGTTGGTAAGATCAAAAGTCGTCGGGGTGTTACCACTGAGTTCATTGGATGAAATGTCTTCATTTGTTGTAGAAAGCAGAGAGACTATGTCACCATTTATTAGGTGTCACTTAAAAGGCTCCCAATATTCAACAATGGTTGCTTTTGAACTCCGTAATTGTTAACACCAGTTAAAGCTTGGCTAGAGATGTTCACGAGAGTGTAATTACGTCACGTGATGCAATGGTTGCTTTTGACTTCGTTATTATAATTTCTGATGAAGTTTTTGCAAGCTATATTTACATGAATGTAATCACTTCAGTTTGTTTCTTAATTCGTTTGTGTTCTTTGTACACATATTGCTTCATATAAATTGGAAACTAAAACGTCCGATTAACTTTTTTTTCGGGTCCAGTATTTTCTAACTACATCTTCATTCTTATACCTCTTGATGGACAAGTTTTTTCCTTTTTAAACTTGATGGGTCTTCTCATCTTTTATTATATTCATTCTTCCCTCCGGCTATCGGGCTTCTGGCCCCTGTTTAGATATATTCCTTGCAGGGGTTGATTGGGTATTCCTATAGTGTTGTTACTCATTTGGGTTCAGACATATAATATGTCTGAACCAACTGAATATGTCACATATTCAATTGCAGGTAGAGTAGTAGTATAATTAAATAATGACGCCGTCAGAGGAAAAAACAGGGCTGAAGGGATAGAGTTCCAAACAAACTAATTCGACAACAGTTCTCGATATCGAGAATATGACTATTGGAAAAAACAGAATCTATGTCGGCACATGACGTTGTCGATACATCGAATCGAATCGGGCACTACGATGGCCTCGAGAAATCCGAAGAAATACATTCAAAGAATAAGCAAACATGAGAACCAGTATTCTGCGGCACTTAGGAAGCTGGCAGTGCGAGACCACCGGTAGTCTACAAACTTTCGTGGACGTACGAAACAATCCGAACATTCCGATGCGTGCTCACATCTGCATCGACGTCTAGCCATCGCCTGGAACACCTCATGTGCATTTCGCTTTCTGCTGCCTCCCACAAATGAGTTCCCCAGTTCCAGCTGAGGTTGGTTCCCCGAGTCTTGACGGACTATCTTTGAGCACGAAGATGAGTCAGTATGGAATTTTACATGATCGTGGAAGCTGTCCAAGAGTCGCGTGTACTGCAATCCTGGGTAGTATACAGCCAGTCCCTACGTCGACAGGTCTCATGGTCAAGCTATACAATATCTTCGGGGGCCCAGAGATATTATTCTTCAGATGTACGATCTTGCTGCGATCGTCACCAACTTGGATTGGCTCATACCAGGGAATTGTAAACTGCGCTTTATCAACACAACTGGGCCTCACATTCGGTTAGTAGGCGTCTCGAGAGAATTTGAAGTACACGGTAGATTCTAAATCGCAAGGAAAACACAAATTATTCCTCTGCTCGCTTTAAACCAGACCTCTCGACTCGAACAACCTTCAAGGTTTCTCTTGTTCCTGTTGCATCCCCACAGAACCACAAACTCAGTGATCTAGGTGTAAGCAGTCGACTTTAGACAGTAAACGTAAGCAGAGAAGGACGCCTACAATTGGCAACAAGAATCGAGTAACAAACCGTGGGTAGGAAGGAAGGACCAGCAATCTAATCAATCTCTCAAACCTCGAAACCACCGGAGCGTAGCGATTGTTTGAATTTTGACGAGAATTTTGAATTTTGAATAACTAAGAAGAGATGCACAAATTGCAGGAATGGGAGGAGATATGAAACAGGCTCAACGTTCCTGGCGGTCGAATCCCGGAGCAAAGTGAGTGGATGCTGGACAGCGCATCGTCACGGTTGCAGCCGTACCTCGATGCGGTTGTAGTTGAGCTGTCCGCAGACAGTCCCTGGCCTGTTGGGAGCGTTCTGTACCGGGGCGGGGACCAGAGGGCAGGCACGGACTGAGAGCGGGGCTTTTGAGAGATTTAAGTCCGATGATGCTGACAGGGTCCGCCCAGCTGACTCGAACGAGCGCCACGTGTCCGAAATTATTGATCGGCACACGTGGACAGGTTCGATCGAGCCAGAGCGTCGAATACTGTGGTAGGGTTTTCTCTCGAGACCAATTGCCTGACGACGAGCGGGTGAGCTGGTCTGATGGTATTTTGGAGCTGAGCAAGCAGGTGAGAAATCGCTGCACCATTTCTGGCCGAAACTTGGACAAATTCTCCAAAACCCAGGGGCCCATGAATAATGTCTGTCGGAATTGTCGTGGTTCGGATGTTGTAGTGGAGACCGATCTGGGTCTTCGTTTCGAATCCTACCGCCTCGCATTGACTTAGTTCATCCTTTATCTCAAAATTGAGTTGTGCGTCTCTGCAGATGAATATATGTAAAGCTATGGTTTCTGTTCGTAGACAATGCAGTAGGGAGGAGCTGCAAACATGGACTGCTGGTGATTATTTTGGATCGTGAGGAAAGATTCTACGCTGCCGTTATGTTCTTCCGTACGGCAGCTTATGTTTGGATGTTAGAATTTCGGATTTATTGACCTTTCGAATTGATGTTACCAGGAGAAGGTCAAACCACAAGCTCTAACGTGTAGAATGTTGTGCATGAGGTAAGTCCTCTTTGGCGCTTCCGTCACATTCTCTCGTCATCTCTTGCTTTCTGTTGGGAGACTTTTCCGAATTGAGACAGTTCCAAACTGCGCAAGAGCTCGGATATTATTGTAGATTTGAAATCGATCGCAGCATTGAGTTCCCCTTTGTTCGTTTCCAGGTCTGGCGTGTGTTTCGCCGCGTCTTGAATTGCAATGTTGGCATTTTGGTGGAAGCTTCAGATTTTTCCAGAAATTCTAGGCTTTCATTCTCTTAGACATAATTTCGCGTCCTAAGTAACCATTCCATTGTCCTCTCTTACAGTGTCAAGTTTGTGCATAGAGTTTCTCCTGGAAAGTCTTTTGCACGTCCTGGAACACCAATACGAAAACAACGACGAAGTATGGCTCCTCCTTTGGCTGCAATGCCAGATGTTCGGACCCCTCGTGTTCTAAGTATTCAATCCCACACTGTGCAGGTGAAAGACTCCTCAAATAAGTTTCGATTCTTACTTCTCTTGTCCAGTATGCCTACTTTCTCATGGAGATAAAAATTCCTATATTGATATGGTGGACTTGCTGATATGCCGTTTTGGTAATATTTTCTTTTTCTTTCTATCTCCAGGGTTACGTAGGGAACAAAGCCGCAGTTTTTCCTTTGCAGTTGCTGGGATTCGAAGTAGATCCCATCAATTCTGTACAGTTCTCTAACCACACAGGCAAGTACTTCCATATTCGTTGTATCTAAATTGTCTTTTTAATACCTGCAGTAAACAACCGGTTCTTGAGCTGCTTGATTCGTCTTCATCAAATTACGTAGCACCTTTGTCACGCGAGTTGAGCGTTCTACACTGTGCTGATTTTAAGTGAAGTGATACATTGTTCATTGATGTTTGTTGGAAATATCGAAACACTAGGGTGTCATCGTAGCTGTTAGGACAAACACCAAACAGCTTTGGAATTTTGAATAGTCTGTACATGTTCAAATTATGGTTAGGTGTTGCAGTATTGGCAGGTGAGCAACCTTGTGCGGTACTATGTCTTTTGCACAGGTTACTCGATAGTCCGGGGTCAAGTGCTTGACGGAGACCAATTATGGGCTCTGATAGAAGGGTTGGAAGCGAATGACCTTCTATACTATACCCACCTTCTGACTGGTACGTAACTGGACCTTCTTTATAACACGAGTATGTGGCATATGTAGCTCAGGCATCCATATATGAAGGGAAAGTGGTGGATTAAAAGGTAAGAGGTATACGAAGTGGGAAATTCTCTCACCGATCCATTTTGCAGATATCTATCACAAGCAATTTGCTCACAGCCTACTTACCATTCGTCCTTGATTCCTGCAGGATATATAGGTTCTCTTTCGTTTTTGGAAATGGTTCTTCAAGTCTTACAGAAGCTTCGCGCTGTAAATCCCAACCTTATCTATGGTATAATTTTTCTAAGCCAGAAAATATTTCAGTACAGTGAAATGTCCAAGCCTCGTAGTTATTGAAGAATACAATTTGCTCTCTTCTATTTGAATAGATACTTCCAGTTGTTTTGATGATAGTTACCATTATAGTCCTCTTTCAAAGCTTTCACTTTAGTAGTACACTGAAACAGAAGTCTCTGCTGCGAGCCCATCAATGCCAGCGTCTGCTGTCGATTCCTGTGTCTGATATTGAATCTGCTGCCGTGAGCAGTATGTGATCCTGTTATGGGCGACGAAGGCAAGTTTTATATCAAACCCGAGCTCGCGCCTGTATTTCGCTCGAAGGTTTTTCCACTAACTTTTCTCATTGAAGTCCTTCGTGCCAATTAAGCTTTAAGATTGTCAGAATGGTTGATACTCTCCGCGGGCTAAGCGATGTGGTAACTTCGAAGTATTCTTTCCATTCGAAGTGTGGTAACTTCGAACGGAAATAAAAACCCGAGGCAGTGGGGATAGACAAAATGTGATGTAAATCATTTATTGTGCATTTAAGACTTGTGTATGCGTTGAATGTCAGTCAGGTAAAAGCTGGTGAGTTTAGTGTATGTGAAACATCAATGCCAAACTGTTCTCCTCATAACCATGTCGTCGATCCAGGTGGTACCCGTCGCATCAATGCTTACGCCAAACCAGTTTGAACTAGAAATTTTGACAGGTTCTAGGTATGTGAGCTCAGCCCAGCACAACACACTTGGTGGCCTTCCAGATTTCAAAGTTCATAATTCCCTATTTATATGAGGACTCTTCTCTATCTATTGTAACTTTGCTTATGCAACAAAACCCTTGCATTGGTTCTTGTTCTTAACTTAGTTGTTATATCTCGAATCCCCGTTTGCTCACAGACTTTGATACTTGCTGTTGCAGCATCCGAACAGAGAAGGAGGCTTTGCAAGCTTGTGAGACTCTCCATGCCTTGGGACCGTCTCAGGTACTAAATTTCTCCTCTTGTAAGTCAGTTGTCTGACTCTGTTCGTGATGGATTCTGCCTCTAGCATGCATGCAATTTAGTGGTAGTCGCTAATGTAAGAGCAAATGTTTTGGTTGGAGGTAAGCATGCTGTTTTGTCGTGCTTTCTTGAATCACCTTCGTGAGATATTTTTGAAGTCAATTTATGTGTTTATGAATTATTCAACTATCTATAATATTGTGTTTCCTCCATTCATTTCCATGTTATCATATGCATTTTTATCAATTTCTACCAGGCCAGCTGGAGCACATTAGGTGCGGATTGTCGTATTTCTTCTGGTAGCTTTAGATCACTTATCGATGCTCTCTCAATAGAGTCCTCAAAAAATTGCGTGAGGATCTCTTCGACTTGCAGGCGTACTGTCTGCATCGGATTGGTCTATTTTCTAATATGACTGTGCCGTCACTTGTTCGTTTTGTGACAGGTTATCATTACAAGCTTAGACATTGACAACAAGTTGCTGTTGATAGGCAGTGATAAGCCTAACAAGGTACGTGTGTTCTAAATGACTAAAGGAAACTCTTTTTGTGTCTGAAGTTCAACAGTAAGGAAATTTGATGTGTTTTCTTTCTAACTTTCTGGGTTGAAACGCATATGCTCTTATTATTCACAAAACCATGGAAAATAATTAAATTGCTAGAGAGAAGTGCATCACTAGTTGTAGGACTAGATGGAGGAGTAGGGAGAGGTAGAGGAGATGCTCTAACTACAGATTCTTCATTCCGGAACTTTATTTAGATTTATCGGTTATTTAGCTCTAAACTCTACTTTTCCTCATCAAGTGACGAGGAGTGCTCTCCAGTAAAATAAATACACGGACTTGTTTTAAAGTCCAAATAGTGTTCCTTGTCAATCATTATATTTACAATGAAGTTTCATCTCTTCAAGTGGCTCACGTTAACCCAGATTGAACTTTTTCAGAGTGTAACCTGTGTTTTTTACTTTCTTCTGTATTTAGTTTTATATTAGTTTAGCTCTAAGAGAGAACCCGGTCTTGGTTCGAGCAACAAAACAAAGACCCACATTTCTTTACATGCACGAGACTCTCCGTTACAAGCGGTTGATGCAGACTGGGTTGATGCAAAGCACATCGCGCGGGTCTCAGGAACGCGTAAATAAATATTCACTTTACATTGGAATAGTCTTCCCTATTCATCTCATTGTAGTTCTTCTCATTATGTTACTGCTAATACTTCCCAGTCAAGGCGCCGTGTATGTGGTCTTCATGTTATGAGGGGATATTTTAATGAATACACTTCCGGAGCTGTATGGCATTATGTAGTCGTAAACATTTTGGTCCTCATCTTATCTTAGTATGCAGTCCCTTTTCATGCCATAGTTACCGAGGCTACCTTAAGGGTGTGTCCTGATTTCAGTCCACTGCACGATGCAGGATGAACCAGCCAAGCAATTTCGGATCAGCATGCCCAAAATTCCAGCGTATTTTACGGTGATCCCTTTATCACTGAACGGACGTTTAGTAAATTGTTCATTTGGTTTTCGATCTGTTCTTCATCAAACTTACTCTTTTCATGTACTGTTTCTGTATTCAGGGCACTGGAGATTTAATGACTGCCCTTCTCTTAGGTTGGAGCTATGTAAGTGCCTCGAAGACAAGCTGTTCCACGTGATCTGTTAGATGTGTGCTGGCAGTCTGGATGTCTGAATGTCGGTCTTTTAGACGAATATTTGCCTTTTTGTCGCGCTGTCATCTGTTTTCCTGTCAAACTTCACATTTGGAGTTATACAGGGTATACATTTCTAAGCGGTAGTTGTTTGAGGCTTATAAGGACTTGTTCAGACGCTGACTGCTTCAGTGAGAGTACCTATAATATACTTCTAATACATCTGCAATTTTGCTGCTGGCATTGCAGAAATATCAAAACGATCTAGCCAAAGCAGCGGAGCTTGCGGTTTCGAGCCTTCAGGTAAATAACTGTTCTTTGGTTGGCTCTTTTTTGTGGATATGGCTTCGTGGACTCCACAAAGCCATATCTTATTCTTTCTATGCTGGAACCAGATGAGTACCGCTGCAGATTTCAAACTAAGCATATGACTGTCGACAGGGAGTGCTACGTCGGACAATAAGTGATTACGAAGAGGCTGGAGTGTCGCCAAACTTGAAGCAACTTGAGCTGCGACTTGTACAAAGTCAAACGGAAATCTCATCTCCCAAGCTTGCTTACCGGGCTGAGAAGTTGTAGTCTTTTCCCAGAACTTAGACGATTATAAACTGAAAGCTCTACAAGATGTATATTCCCTTTTTGTAATGATACAAGCAAAACTTGTGATATCGTCGACCTCTTTATTTCGACGTATATCATTTAAGTTATTGCAAGCTTATTTTTTGTATCGTCAACGCGATTGTGTGATTAAACAGAAGATTAAATTAGAAGATTTAGAAGCAAGGTAGGGAGTTCCGTGCCTCGGCAAAATACTGAAGTGAAGGTTATTAATTTTATGCCAAGATGCAGAAATTCGAAAGATGGATAAGCTTAATGCTTGCACATCATCCTTCGACTGTCATGTAAGGTTCAATTGGCATTGTCGATGGGTACACTATTCATCAGAAGGGAGATAGTTCTAATTTTTTTTTGCTAACTCGTCGTTTATTTCTAGTTGAACCATTCCTTTTAATTTTCGGTTCTCGGGTCTATGAAATTTGTACTTGACAGGCAATTATTACAGATTGTATGATCAAAACTTGGTATCTTTAATATATGTTGAGAGAATATGTGCTTCACCTTGATCGATTCTACCTTTGCGTCTCAAGAAACTTTAAAATAGTTTTCTCCTTTTATAGTTTCACTGATGCTGCGCGATTCAGTGATATGAGAGAGAATTACCATATAAAAGCAACTAGTTTTGAATTGTGCAAAGTCAAGGTACGCAAGAGTTACCTATCATACAGATTGGTCCGTTTGCCATCGTTTAGTACTAATTACCAAGTTCTTGACTTCTACGAAAAAGGGAGCAACTGTGGCTAACAAGGCACATGTTTTACGGTCAACACTCCTAAACATAGGGGTCAGCTGGTTAACACTTGTTTGCCGCCGAGGCTGGTGTTGTGATCTATTTTATAGGGCGCCGTGGTTTGGGGCAGCTGGACCGCCATAAGTTAATTCTCCAGATGCATATGGTCGGTATGCTCCGGTATATTAGCGAATACTGGCAGTAGTGTCCTTACGCGTTCAAAGGAGACTTTCCTGGATGTAGATCCAGATCTGGTTGCGAACAAAGATGACGGAGACGGACAGATCAATTGCGCCATATACACAACAGCTAGACTGAGACAACGCTGTACTACCAAGTGCATGGGTGAAACGAGGTATTGAGCTGAGAAAAATAGCGACAGGTGATGAACATCAGAAGTTTATTGTTACAAGTGAAGATCGGAGGTGAGGACTATTTACTGGCCTTATCAATTGATTTTATTGTATACGCTTTGTAAAAATAATGTAACATGATACACTTGAAACACGGATATATATATACATACAACCATGTATTGTGAGAAGTCGTGCCAATCTTTAAATAGATGAAAATTAAAGTAAGGACATAAATTTAACGTTCTTACCAGTCTTTTTTAGTAGACAAGTATTCGTTCAGAATTCTTCATTACTGTCATGATTAGACTTTCAGCTGGTCATTTTAACAGAAGTCCAAAGCCAGAAAAAAGAACTCGTAAAGTAGTGATTTTCCAGTTCTTGTTGGATTACAAGGAGAAGATATCGTACTCGATGGGCGGTTAAGTTTCACGTGATGGCAGATTTGAATTCTCCAGGAGAATATACAGCCTCTTCCTTCATCGAAGCCATGTTCGCATCGTCATTAGCTTTCACTTTCTCTGCAGAATCTCTCGCACCTTCTGCTCCTTCTGTGGCATCAACGCCATCTGTCTCCTCTGTATTCTGGGCTGAAAAGGGTCCTAGCTTAGGTCCCGAGTCCCCTTTGTAAAGACCTATCTTCCCACTTGCTCGACTCTTCAATACTCCTGGAAAAATATCAATACAAATTTCCAGCATTCGAAAGCTCTGATCGTCAATGCTTTGAAGCAAAAGAGCAGCTGTTGAGAATGCTCGAGAACAACCGAGGCCACAGTCATAACCCTCTCTCGTTCTAGCTTTTGTCCAAAGGGAAATTTGATGTTCCTCAATGACATAGAAAAATCGGCTGAAGCAGGTCTGCAGTCAGTCGGTGACAGTTTCATATTTGCAAGCTGCTACAACACAATAGCGTTGACATGTGGCTCGATCCAGAATAGAGCTACAAGAATAGAGCAGCGTGGCTGTCCGTGCCTGACCGACCACGCAACTCCTCGGAGAAGAAGAGTGCTCGTTTCGACGATCTCTGAATCGAGAAGAGGTGTATGAACATACCAGCAGAAGCATCGGCGTATGCGATAATATTAGCCTCCGAAGACTCTGACGGTCCGAGTGGGGTACCTGAGAAAAACAACTCCGAGCGTCAGTCAGTCACGAAAGCTGCACCGGTTATTTCCTTCTTTCATTTCTGGCCAACCGGCTGCCAATATGTCGACAGCTTTGATCCTATCAGTGTACGAAGCTCCTGTCAGTTGTTGCGTACCGGACAGAGGTCCTGTCGGTGCAAGGCCTTCGGAGGCATTGCTGCAGAATCTCGTCCCAGCGACAGGCAGCCACGATTTCAAGCGGAGAATGTTCTCAGACTGGACTGACGAATTTCACCCAAAACTCGCTGCGACCTCAATCGCTTCCGTCGATCGAAAATAGCTCTTGCGACGTAGCGTGCCATGACTTCCCTCGAGCTCTGCTGAACATCCGAGACACAAGAAAGGACCTCGGTTTATGGAGTCTCGTCAGACAGCTGAGTGACGTGGCAAATGCCACGTGCGACGTCCAGCCACACTTGGCTTCTCGCTATCATAACAAATGGAACGTCGAAACGAGCCCAGAACTGGACAGGAAGGACGGACGGAGCAGCTGCATGGGTCCCCTTTCCGGGCACTCGGTTCCTGCCCACGGCGTCGGATTTTCTCCATCCGACGTCGCGAACTGGATCCGACTTCGCAGAATCTTTCGTCATTCGTGCCTCCGGGAAGTCGCGGTCCCGTCCTAATATATCACACAGAGCTCCGCCAACGACATCGAGCCAAGCAGTCCTCCAATGGGACAGTCAGTCCTCGACTCGACTCCGCTCACGCTCTCCTCGGAAGTTGGATGTATGGGCCGCAATTCGGCGTTGGCCGGGAGCCGAATGTTATGTGCGCCAGTTGAGTTCAATGAGGTCGAGATCTGATTTGTCATGATCTTCGAGGTAAGCCAGCCTCGCCCAATCTAAATTACAAGTTGTCAGTTGTAGGATTGTGTGTTTATCCTTGAGCGTCTCGTCTCGATAGTGTTCTTCTTCTTCTTCTTCTTATCCTTATCGGTGTATTAAAATATCGTTTTCGGGTTTCATCGATTCGTTTTTCGATCCATGCTATCCACGAGGGTTTGCTTTGCTTTGATCACTTCACCCGACGGCTTCACTCCAGCTGTGGTGAGGGTTTTGAACAGTCCTCGCTCTCACATCTGGCTGGGCCAAAGAGAGATTTTTTGCCGACAGTGTACGCATGATTGGATTGTGAGTTTTGAGTCCGACCGGGAAGAAGCGATTGAAGGTGCATTGGCGTATTAGGCGACTCTTTCTTGGAGCAGATTTCAGCCCAGAAATAGAGATTGCTGCTCTGATCATGAACGTGTTCTCCGTCGAGAGGCTGCTGTAGTATCACTCACCGGTCTTTCGCCCTGTGCTTGCTTCTCAGCTTGAAGCTGATTCGCTTGAAGATGAGTGTGAAAATGGAAACATTGATGAGAAGGCCAGTCGTTCCTGGAGCTCTCGTGCGGTTATCAAGATGTTGCTAACCCTAGTTTGTGGCCATATTAGTCATCTACTGACTCTCCTCGACAAGCTGCTTTCGAATCTTTTAGCGAGTAGCCAGGTCCCAGCCGGTGTTCAGGGCATTCTCTTCCCGAGATTGATTTCTCATCGATTCAGCAGCTGGATTCGTTACCCTGAAGCTCGACGTAACTCGCTAGTCGGACCCATGAGCTTTACTCTCACCAGGCAGAACTTAAAAAACACCCATGACCGACATATAGTTTCAGCTTAAGCCAAAGTGTGGATGTACGAAACCGCGATGAAGTGAATCTGATCAGACCTACGCGTGCTGTCGAATTGCAGTCTCGAGCGACCCGACGAGTCTATCGCAGTCTCAAACGACGGGGCTGTTTCAGTGACGAGTCGACATGAATACCAAGCCTGCAGTCATAGTCTCAAGTCCGAAGACCGGAATTCCTGATCTCTGGCGTCGCGGAAAGAAGAGTCCTCCCGCCCAGGTGACAATCGTCGTGCCAATTATCATGCTTCAGAGCCTCCGCCAGTACTCCAGACACCATCCAGACTCGAGCCCAGCTCCTCTCAGTTCTGTATCGCTCGACAAACCGACGATTTCTGTACGTAAGATCGCAGCCGTATCTGCAGAGTACGCGAGGACCGCAAGAGGTATGTGCGCGCAGGGTTGGTGGCCGAGCGAACGGTGAGATCCCGGAATATGCTCTGTGCGCCGTGCGGATGGGTGGGTCATGACAATTCACCCCATCCGGGACGACAGCACGAATCGCGTGTGCATCTGGAGGCAGACCACTGACTCGTCTATTTGATGCGTGCTTGCCCTCAGCTCGAGTGTGAGTGAAGGAGGGCTCGAAATGCGACGAGCGGCAGGAGGAGGAGGAGGAGGAGACGAGAGCGAGGCGATGGAGGAAGAAGAAGGGCGCGGGCGGGGAGGCGGGCTGGTGTTCGCGTACTACGTGACGGGGCATGGATTCGGGCACGCGACGCGAGTGGTGGAAGTGGCGAGGCATCTGATCGGCGCGGGGCACGCGGTGCACATCGTGACGGGGGCGCCGGAGTTCATCTTCCGCAGGGAGATGGACTCGCCGCAGCTGTCGATCCGCACGGCGCTGCTCGACTGCGGGGCGGTGCAGTCGGACGCGCTGACGGTGGACCGGCTGGCGTCGCTGGAGCTCTACTCGAAGACTGCAGTCGTGCCGCGGGCCAGCATCCTGCGCGCGGAGGTGGCCTGGCTGCGCTCCATCAAGGCCAACCTGGTCGTGTCGGACGTGGTGCCCATCGCGTGCCAGGCCGCGGCGCAGGCGGGCCTGCCGTCCGTCTGCGTGAGCAACTTCAGTTGGGACTTCATCTACTCCGAGTACATGACGGTGGCCGCGCCGCGGCACCGGTCCATCGTGTGGCAGATCGCCGAGGACTACTCCAACGCGCTGTTCGTCGTCCGCTTGCCGGGCTACTGCCCGATGCCGGCGTTCCGGGACGTGGTCGATGTGCCGCTGGTGGTTCGCTGCGCCCGGCGCAGTCGCGCCGAGGTGCGACAGGAGTTGGGCATCGGCGAGCGCGAGAACATCCTTCTGTTCAATTTCGGAGGCCAGGACTCCAAATGGTCGCTGCGCGACGAGTTTCTGCCGCCCGGATGGAAGTGTTGGGTCTGCGGCGCGCCCGACGAGCAGGAGCTCGGGTCGCGGTTCATGCGCATGGACCGAGACGCGTACACGCCGGATCTGATCGCCGCGAGCGATTGCATGCTGGGCAAAATCGGGTACGGGACGGTCAGCGAAGTGCTCGCGTTCCGAGTGCCGTTCGTGTTCATCCGCCGGGATTACTTCAACGAGGAACCGTTCCTGCGGAAGATGCTCGACTTCTACCGGGGCGCCGTCGAGATGAACCGGCGAGACTTCTTCTCCGGTCGCTGGGCGCCGTACCTGGGCCGGGCGCGAGAACTCAAGCCGCGCTTCGACGGGCCGGTGAACGGCGGCGAGGTCGTGGCCCGCATTCTGCAGGATGCCGCCGTCGGCAAAGTGGACGCGCCGCTCAGGCGCAGCGGCTCCCGACGGCTGCAGGACGCGATCATCTTCGGGTTCCAAATGCAGCGCCACCCGAGCCGAGAAATCCAGCTGCCGGACTGGTACGCCACGTCCGACACCGAGTCCGGCAGCCTCCCGGCGCACGCTCGCCCCGGCACGGCGGCCGGCGGTTCGGATGACGTCGTCCAGATCGTCCACGGATCGTCGCAGGGACTGGCGGACACGGCCTGGTTTTTGCGGACGCTGGGCAAATTGGACGAGGAAGGCGACGTGCTGGCCAGCGACCACGCCGACCGGCCGCAGGCGCAAGAGCGGCTCGCGGCCGCGGGCCTCTTCCGGTGGGACGACGACGTGGTCGTGTGCCGGGCGCCCGGCCGGCTGGACGTGATGGGCGGCATCGCGGACTACTCGGGAAGCCTGGTCCTGCAGATGCCGATCCGGGAAGCGTGTCACGTCGCGGTGCAGCTGCAGCCCGCGACGAAGCAGCGGCTTTGGAAGCACATGACGGCCCGGCACGGCGGGGCCTTCAAGCCCGCCGTCCGCATCGTGTCGTTCGGCTCGGAGCTGGCGAACCGCGCGCCGACCTTCGACATGGACGTGAGCGACTTCTTCGACGCGCAGGGCAAGCCCATCTCGTACGAGGCCGCCCGCGCCTACTTCGAGCAGGACCCGTCGCGCAAGTGGGCGGCCTACGTCGCGGGAACGCTGCTGGTGCTGATTCGCGAGCGAGGCGTGGAATTCCGCGACGGTCTGAGCATTCTCGTGTCGTCGGCAGTTCCCGAAGGCAAAGGCGTGTCGTCGTCCGCCGCTCTGGAAGTGGCGACCATGTCTGCCGTCACAGCAGCCCTCGGGGTGGACATTGCGCCGAACGATCTGGCCACTCTGTGCCAGATGGTGGAGAATTATGTGGTCGGAGCTCCGTGTGGAATTATGGATCAGATGGCTGCTACTTGCGGTGAGGCTAACAAGCTCCTGGCGATGGTATGCCAGCCTGCCGACGTGAAGGAGCACATCAACATTCCGAGTCATGTGCGTTTCTGGGGTCTCGATTCTGGAATCCGGCACAGCGTGGGGGGATCGGATTATGGTTCTGTTCGTGTCGGCACATTCATGGGCCGCAGAATCATTCAGGCGGAAGCTGCCAAGTACATCTCGCAGATCTCTGTTCCGACTGTTGAAGCGAATGGCACAGCTGGACCTTGCAGAGCACATTTACGGGAAGTTTACGATTCGGAACTCCGGGAAATTGAGCAGGAAATTAACTTGAATTATCTCTGCAACATTCCTCCGAGCCGGTACGATGCGCTCTATGCCGGCCTGATTCCGGCGGAGCTGAAAGGCCAAGCGTTTTTTGAGAAGTATGGCAGCCACAATGATCCTGTGACGAGAATTAAACTGGAAAGTGTGTACAAGATTAGGGCACCTACATCTCATCCTGTCTATGAGAACTCCCGTGTCAAGACATTTGCGGCATTACTGACTGCTGCGAATTCCGATGAGCAGCTTAGTGCTCTTGGCGAGCTCATGTACCAGTCTCACACTAGCTATTCGAACTGTGGGCTTGGTTCCAAAGGCACCGATCTTCTGGTATCGCTCACCAAACACATGCAGCGTTGCACCCTTGAAAATGCTTATAAGAATCAAGGTACATTGTTTGGAGCTAAGATTTCAGGTGGCGGTTGTGGTGGCACTGTTTGTATAATAGGTCGAGACTCACAAGAAGCCTACGAAGAAATTTCGAAGATCCAACAATTGTATGTAGGACTGACTGGACACAAGCCATACCTGTTTGAGGGCTCCTCTCCAGGAGCTGCACAGTTCGGATACCTCCGAGTGCGCCGCACACAGAAGTGCGCTCATAGCACGGTGCCTGGCATTTAGATGATTTCAGGGAGCCGACGGCGTAAAGTGAGCTGTCTGTTCCCTTTTAGGCTTGTATAAACAACATTGTTATAGAAAACAGTTGTAAGTTGCATCTCTCGTTTCACTCTGTTCGGCATGGGCATGCTTCCGAGAAGCATTCTCTGTATCGATTTCCAGTGTGTGTCAATCGAGGAAACCTCCTGTTGCAGTCGTTGTGGAAGGTTTGGAATTCGACTGCGCAACACCTTCAAGTTCTTACATGGACACTCAAGGTGAGGTGATGTGTGTGCGCACCCGAGAAGCAGATATCCGTAGCAGTCAACGTCGGAAAGTTGTCACACATTCGTCAGCAATTACTCCTTTCGAACCTTGACTTCCAACCTGCTATCACCTTCCTCATCGATTGAGGAGTAACTGCCAGACCTCTATTACGAGATCAGACTGCTACTTGAAATAAGTTACTGCTCATGAATGAAATAAGACAAGTGGGATGAGAAAAGGACGACGAGAAGCAGCATAGGAAAGAACAACTAATGTCGATGCCATCACTGAACCCGGCGAAACACTTGGAAATCCCCCCTAGAAAGAAGGAAACGACACTTCCATGTGATGAGAGTGTACAGGCAACCCTTACATGATAATGAGAACACAATTCCCTACAATGCAGATCAGAAAACCTTGAATTAATTGTTCAGGGAGGCGATCAGGAGTTAAATGAGTGAGTTAGATGCTCGTCACGTCTTTGCTTTGCTAGTTCATCAGAATCGTACAAGGATATTTAGCCTTCACACGATGGTAATGAGGAACGTAGATGGATATGCAGAGGTCCTACCCATCTGGTTCACTCATCGGCAAATCTACAGAACGTTTGGAGCTTGAGGGCGTCATCGCTGACGGCTGACAAATGTAATTGTGTCACCATTATTCTCGATTCTTATCTCTCAATCGCCATAACAGGAAGAAACATCATACGACCTCTTCAACTTTGCAAATACCAGCAGGAGGAGAACTGGATCATGGATTCCGGTGACTAGTCCTTTAGTTCGTTCTTTTCTCTTCAAATTAACAAACTAAGCACATGATGAACTGAAACACAGATAAATTCGCCTGTCCAATAAGATAAGCCATCCCGACTGGGGAGGAGAAATCTTATATGAGAACTTTAGCTTCATCGGATAAGAAAATCCCATTTCGTATGACAGTCTCCGACCATGACTACTGACACCTGTCGACATGTTCTTTCGAAAGAAACGTCTGCATCAATCACCACTATTCAAACAATGAGGAAACAGACGCTATCAGTCGACTGCAACATATCAGAGACCTTCATTAATCTCACACCTGGTTTCATCAATCTGTTTGAGTCACTTGTCCAGTAATGTGCCACAAATGCCTCATCGTATTTTTCCATGGAACTGAGAAACCACAATACACGGTGGTCAAACCCTAGTGTACAATAACATCTGATCTGATATCTACAAACTCTAATTGATGAGATTCTGACAGTAATGTGCTTCTTGTTCCCGACTCGAGAGAATACTACTCAAATAGACAGTGACTTAATTCCTTCCGAGAGGAAGTGATCTGCAACTATACGTTTCCCTCAAACTGTTTTTACTTGAAGAAGTGAAAATGGACGCGTATACTTCCTTGGATGCATTTTGAGGTAGCAGCTTCTCTGCAGCTTTGAACTTTTTCGACGGTTGAATAAGATCAGACCCCTTCGGCCTCGATACTGGAACCTCAGTTACTTCGACAACAATTTCGGTCTTTCTTTTCTGTGTGGCTGTAGCCTGCAAATGTGCTTTCCCAACTAGCTTCGCACCGTTTTCCATCTTTGACTCGACAGCTGTCATCGGCTCTTCGCCGCTTTGAGGCTGTTTTACAATCATCTCCTTCGCCACTGCACCGTCCGTGCTCGGGTTTTTCCTTTCCTTCTTCTCACCACGAGACTTCGTCTTCTCTTCCTCCCACCTCTGACGCAAAGCTAATACCTCTTCCTCGGTTCCATTAATGACAACCTTGTCAGCCTCAGAGAATGGAGTATAGCATACAAGACACGATTTCGTCTGCACTTCTTTCAGGGCCCTTGCACTTAATACGTGACCACAGCCTCTAAGAACGAGAAATCTAAACTTCCCGTTAAATTCTAATCCCGTAATTGGACAATGAAACTTCGTTTCTACGCTATCATCATCCGCGCTGACACCAGGAATGGTCGCTAGGTGAATTGGTATCACGTCCTTTAATCCCTTTATAATGTGCCTAAACTTCTTTGGAACGCTCTTCGTCAATAAAGCCTGAACAACTGCTTCTTTGTTGTACAGATTTCCCAGAAAATCAATCACGCATGGAGGCTTCAAGGCTTCTGCAGACATAGTGCAGCGGGTTGACTTCGCGAGCTTCGCTTCGTTCGGATCCACCTTGTCCGGTTTCTTCTCAGCGTACATTTTCAAATAGCAGTCTCGTGATTCAGCTCCTGTTGCACCACCATCTCCTCCACCCCCGCGAAGCCTAAACCCAAGACACACTGTGCTACAACTCTTGATTGAAGACTCTGCTATGGTCAAATCATCTGCCAAAATCCTTCCATCATGCGCCAAGTAAAGTTCATTCAACGAAGAGCTGGGTGCATGTGGCATACCCAAGCGCTTCAACTCAACCATGGTCTGATCGACTTCAACACGAACAGTCAATGTGCGACCATCCATGTTCCTTAAAAACAGCTGCATCTTTGCACCCCTGCAGAGCCTTTCTTTGATCAGGTAGAAGAAATACTACCTCCTTCCAATTTCCTCGCGATCCGGCCTTGAAAGAAATATTCTTCTTCCTAATCGCGAACCCTAACCTGTTCCAAATTCCAAATTCCGCTTCCGACGAGATCCTATTCCGACGAGATTTTACTCCTGCCGATAACAAAAAAAATCCAACCATCCATATCAGCGACAACGACAAGGATGATGAAACCCGAACTTACAAGAAATCGACTGAAGAGACGAGAATTCGTGGGTCTCCAACACCGACCGACAAACCGAAGTGGGTGCAGAGGACGTCAGACAAAGAACACTTTCTACAGTCCAATTAGAAGCCATAACACCATTGTGCAAGAAATCATACCAATCGTGACAACTGCGCAACGTAGACAACTTCGCACAAATCTTTCGATACCTGCGTCTCACGAGCAGCAGCAAGAGGATCCATAAAATTCTACACCCTCGTCCCGCAACGCAACGAACTAAAACGCTGCGTGACGCACAATCCCGTATTATGTAACGACGCGTGGCATCTGCAAGTCCTGAGTGAACAAGTCATGACTTGAATGCAGGTTTCATTCAAAAACTACAGTATATTATATCGTATATGTTTGGAATGACAGAGTATTTGTGAAATATGGTGTCAAATATTACTTGTCTCGACGCTTTGATACACTCCGAGCCAAATTTATGCATGTTAATGCTCTTTCAGGAAGTGACGGCAACAATGAAATTTTCGGTTATGCAAATCGCACAACGTGAAATGAGGCGAAATGCAACTAGGAATGTGAGGGTATAGCAGGCCTCATAAATTCTAGCAAATTTCAGGTTTGCCAGAATTAAATTAATTCTGGTTATCTTTTCATCTTAATTTTGGCATTTTCCAGAATTGACAATAACAACCCTATTACTATAATTTACAAAAAACATCAACTCGATGGAATGAATAGTTTCCTATATGAATGAATAGTAATCATTTTTGGCATGAAAGTTTTTATTTCACTAATTTTTAATCTATGGTTTGGCGATTATCGTTTTGAGAGTTTCAAATTACGGGACTTCCATGAATAAAGTAAAAGTGTGTAAGGTTGTTGCGACAGTTGTCTTTCTTTGCACTTCCGATTTCCCCGGACGTCTCACAATTCGTCCGATCACATCACTTTACTTTACTTCATTCTTCTGCGCACTTGTACTCCCTATTTGTCCGAATTAGACTCGCGGTCCAATCACTTTACTTTACTACATTTTTCTGCGCATTTGCATTCCCTACTAGTCCGATTCGGACTCGCGTGGTCTGTGTCTTGGGAATGTGGATCCGTTTGAGAGTGAAAAAAACTTAAACATTCCAATACTCCTTGTTAATCCATGAAAATTTCTACACATGAACTAATACCACAAGTCGACCATCCAAGTTACTCCTTTGAGAGATCTGGGATCCCTCCCAGAGAGCCACTTAAATAACCAATGAAGTTAAGGATTAAGTAAGATTTGCAAGAAATCTTCCAACGCAGTAAATCTCACATAACACAACACTCAAAATCTAATATAAATTTCCACTATCTGAACAAATAGAGTCGCGTTCCTAAAACTTAGACAAGACCACTTGACAAGTTCGAAGAATTAACTTTAAAAAAAACATTAGCTCCACACTCATAGCAAATACGTCCTTGGAATTTTCCTAGTCTAACAAGTCTACATCAGCTTTCTTCAACTTATCATGGTTGATCGTACCATCTAAATTGCGTAATCTTAAGATTATGTATTCTTTGTCACAAAAACTTTCTTAATTTAATAAGGTTTATCTGAAGAAATGGAGGTTTCATAAAGTTTAAACCACTTGGATGTTAATTTTTTATGAGCTCTTCAAAAATGTATTCAATCGTATATCATAACCAAATCACCGACTTTGAATGCCCATTTGTTTACCTTTTCATTCCACAATTTTTTTTTCATTTTTTTCTAAGCAACCTCAATTGCATGTCTTGCCCGCAAGTGAACCTTGTCCAATGTACTAACTTGCATCAACCGCCTTGGTTGAGACTCAACCATATCCAAATGTGCTTTAAAAGTAGTGCAAAGTCTCATGAGTTCGTATTCTATCAAAAATAAAGACTCAAAATGTCATAGGTAAAAAAAAAAAGATAGAATATCATAGCCGTTTTGAATGCTGGATTGTATAACCACATTGCATGATGGATCTTGAAACCCCAATGTAGCATTTGTTCTTGCATCTCATTCCTTCCAAACACAGTGTCTTGTTTGTTTGTTCTGCCAACCTGTTTCTACTCGGTTTGTACATAGTTGTAATTTATGTTTGATTGCTAATCCTTGTATCAAATTCTTCCACACATCTCTAATGAATTGAGGTCCATTATCCGAGACTATCTCCAACGTATGATCAAAGTGAATAATGATACGTTTGTACACAAATAGCGTTATTTTTTTTTTTTACCAAATTCTTCAAAGTCCAAAACTCCTTGCAAATATTGTAACTTAATTTGTAGTCAAAATAATGAAATGATCTCCCCTTTTGTGATCGGCAAAGAATATATTAAATCAATATTTTATTTTTAAAATGATATCAATCGAGAATTTTGGTGGAAGTTGTCGCTCACCATAAATTTATTTGTAAATGCTTGGCACATCTTGCAACTTCTGCAATAGTCAAAAGTATCTTTATACATAGTCGTCAAAATTATCCTACTGCAAGGATTTTCTTCACTCCAATTTGACCTGCAAAATGTTCTCCACAAAAACCTACATAAAATTGTTATTATAATTTTGAGACCTTCGCTTTTCTCACCATATTGCAAAGAATGTCATAACTCTCGCAAAAATACATTAATTGACCTATCAAGGTATAAGATCAAGTCTTATGTGTGAATCTCTTACTAATTTGTTTGGTTGCTCCATCCAAAAAATTCATACCTTCAAGATATTCAATGATATTGCTAAAACTCCTCAATTTTTTATCAATGTTGATCAACATTAACATTGCGCCAAGAATATTGTTGTATTCGGAACCGACGTAATGGTGGAATTAATTTGAAACTAGAAATCACTATGTGGTTAGTGTTTTGTGTGAATATAAGTTAGGAAGAAAAATCATAAATAGTAAAAGTGCTATGTGTGTAAACTATAGCTATAGAAGTAAGTAGTACAATAATTGATTATATTACGTACTTCCAAGTTATACTACATGTACTTCAAACCCTAACTACATGTTGTACTACATTTTACTTTCAAAATTTTACTTAAAAGTCTATATAGTAAAAAATGTATGGCTCATTCTGCTCAGTCTCAACTTTGTGTTTTCTGCATTTTGAAAATTCTTTATATGTCTAGGTGACTTGACATTGAATGTTGTGAGATTTGATGGAGCCGAAAAGAGTAAACATTTTGAAAATGTGACTTTTTTGGCAAACAATGTCCGCTTGAGAGAAAAAGTGATCTTAGGGATCGAAATACATTTTTTTCAAAGCATTATCAAAAAAATTTATTGAATATAGAGTGGAAGATGAGGTATGTTTCAGTTTTTGTTTCAAGTTTGTTTCAAAGGAGTTTTTACAATTACTAAAAGATAGCTCTCGGAATAACTTGTACAAAATAAATTACTTTTTTTGTATCTAATTTTAGGCTTTTAAAATTTATATGAATATGTATTGAAAGATAATCTATTCTCAGCTAAAATTTTACTAAGAAATCACCTTTAGAAAGTAATTTGTGTTGTTTTGAAGATTAGGATGTACAAACCAGGAAAAAAGATCATATACTCATTTATATCATGTAGAAAGCGTTTTTTTTTTAAAAAAAACGTTTTGAGTGTTTTCATCTTATAGAATTCTTGTATTAGTGTGATGAACTTTTGTTGCTAGCAGCCATAGGTCTGACGCCTTCTTGAGCAACTCTTTTTTCCCAGACAACGTCCATCTACTTTTCCATTTGTGTAATAAAATCAAGAATCTGATGCTTTGTATATGCACGATGTACAATCTCCAAGTCAATTTTTTTAAGCAAATTTACTAAAAAATAAGTATATATATTCCCTTTTTCTTCATGATCTACCTTCTCACTTGGAATACGAACTACAAACTTCATAAGAGGACAATGCATTTCCTAAGTTCATTGCAAATCATCTGCATGGAATATGCCTGAAGGAGATGATTGAATAATACTTTTACTATACATTGCGTATATTTATCCTGTAAATAGGTAAATTAAATAAATTTTACATTTCATTAACAATGTAAAAAATCATCAAAAATTACAAAGAAACTTTACTACAAACTCAATCTCTAATTATGAAAACTGATTTTTTTTTAAAAAAAAAAATTGATGTCTAATAATCTTTGTAAACAAAAATGAAACAATTGGGTTAATCCGCATCATCCAAGATACAAACTTGGCAAAGTTGAATGCAATGCACATACATCACGACGTACATTGTGAATTGAAAAGCAGTGAAAAATACCTCAAATTGTAAACTTGACATCAAAGCTTTAGTGTGTAAGCTGTGATGGCATCACATAGATCCGGTACGCCATCATCTGAACTTCAAAGCACATGCTCAGTAAATGTGGAACGGAATTAGAACTGATTTGAGATAAAAATGATGGAGCCTTCATATCATTTGTGATTTCAATCTACTTGATTAAGCTTCAAACGCGAAACAAACTTCTGTTGCAAAAAATTCATCGGTTATCACAATGAGTATGCTGGGAGCAAGTACTTTGGTCTTTATGTTCAAATTGTATGTGATATGGCACCTTGTTTGCAAATGACAAACATATTCAATGATTAAGTTTAAGGATGAAAATATTTATGATGTCAATAACTCATGATATATTGATCAAATTAATGGTTATATAATGAACAAGATTATGTGATCTCCTAGTTGCTTCAAGAAAGCTTCATGACAAGCATATGAATTGAATTCAGTAAGGTTTTTTTACCTCATGAAGAAATCTATGAGCTCCAAGTCTTCAAGTCAAAGTGGAACTAGACGATCTACAATGAACACGTCGAAGAAACTAGATTGAACATGTTAACTATTTGCACATGTGTGAAAACAAAGTGGTGCTCACATGTTCTTTTAACATTATAAGAGTTAAAAAAATTTGATTCAAATTTTTTGGAAGTTATGCTTTGAATTTTTGTGGCAATTTTTGAAAATTTATGCGTTCAAGCAATGGCTCAAAAGCGGAAGCAAAGGAGCAAATTATGGTCAAGCACACTCCATAAATGAAGCTCGTGGAATTATGCTTTGCTGTTCTTCGAGGGTCGGGTTTCGATACAAGGAGGGTGGTAGCAAAGCTAAGAGAGGTAGCAAACTTTTTTGACCATGTTATTGGGGAGAATCTTGTGAATATTGTATCGCATTTGGATTGCCACTTCTCTGCTAGCTGATCGTATCACATGGCTGATAAACAAGATGATTGCACTGCGTTTGATCGATATTCTACAGGTCTTGCAAGTCAAGATGTTTCCCTAATGACCAAGATT